TTGCTTCAAAAATTGTATTCTTAGATGAAGCGACCTTTATACTAAACGGCACATTAAATCGACATAATTTTCGATATTGGGCGGGAGCAAACCCACACTGGGTGCAAGAAGCACACACACAATATCCGCAAAAAAGTAAATGTGCAGGCTTTATAAGAGGGCATATCATAGGACCATTTTTTCTTAATGAAACCCTTACCGCTAATCGATATCTTCAACTGTTTCAAACTCATGTCATACCTGCGATCACCGCCTTATTCCTGGGTGAAAATGGAGGTATTAACGATAGAATTTTCTTCCTACAAGATGGAGCTCCTCCACATTTTGAGGTTATTGTTAAAGAGTACTTAAATCATGTTTTTCGAAATAGATGGATTTAGAATAGAAGCTTTGACGCCGTTAGATTTTTTCCTGTGGGGCCATGTTAAAAATAGTGTGTTCAGACAAAAACCACGTTATTTGGAGGACCTAAAGGTGCGGTTAACTGCTGAAATGCGCAGAATACCTGCGGAGGTGTTATACAGACCCGGGGAAAAAATTTTCATATATAATCATGTATATTCATGTATGCTCATATATATATATATATATATATGATTATATATAAAAAAATGTATGAAAATATATGATTATATATATGATTATGCATGATAATACATGAATATTAGGGTGTCCCTTATTTTTTATTTTTTTACGCATACCCTCTAATTATATTTATTACGTATTTATATACTCCCAGTAAAAATTTCAGCTCATTCTATAAACGGGAACCCGTGCCGACTTGCATCTGAACCCTCCATTAGCCAACGTTAGGCGCACGGTATTTTGTAACACGGTTGGCCGCTAGGTCTTCGATCGTTAGTCATTTTGTGTTTGTTATTATGTGACCCTTATATTATAAATTATTAAAAAATGTTAAAATATAGTTTTATTTATATGTATACTTTAATAAAAATGAATATTTTTACAGGAAGTGGCTAGTTACCCGAAAGTGTCGGGTGAATAGGCCGTAAAACTAATTACCCGAAACTCTTTTTTTTATTATATCTGAATGACAGCTAAAAAATAACCAAAAAAAAATTAGTTGATTTTATACCTTAAATATATTAATATACTAATTAGTATTGCTAAAATATACTGTTATATGAAATTTCAGCTTTTTATAAGCATTTCTTTTCTTGATGTCCTCCCAAAAATATTTCAGACAGTTTTCGGTAGTCATCTCTCACAATAGACTCTTTTAGTTATTTAGAGTAAATCCCATTAAGTTTATCAATTTCAGAGTTTACGGCATATTCACTAGACCCTTCCGGGTAACTAGCCACTCCCTGTGAAAATATACATTTTTATCAAAGTATACACATAAATAAAACTATATTTTAACATTTGTCAATAATTTATAATATAAGGGTCACATAATAACAAACACAAAATGACTTACGATCGAAGACCTCGCGGCCAACCGTGTTACAAAATACCGCGCGCCTAACGTTGGCTCACGGAGGGTTCAGAAGCAAGTCGGCACGGGTTCCCGTTTATAGAATGAGCTGAAATTTTTACTGGGAGTATATAAACACGTAATAAATATAATTAGAGGGTATGCGTAAAAAAATAAAAAATAAGGGACACCCTAATGAATATATATAACATTAGTTTATATAAAATTGACTTCCATGTATGATTATGTATAATTATACATGACCATATATACGGCTTCCCATTTTAAATGCATATGCGACATATGACATTCCATGTCGTAATATATAACCATATTTAATGTTTATAATATATTATATTATATTATACTGTTATACACAACCAGATATAAATCTATTATGTCATTTGTTTATATATGATTATGTATGGTCATACATAATCATATATCTATGAATGAATCTATGATTATGTATGACCATATATTATCACTGATATTTTCATGGCTTGTTAAGTTTAAAAAATATTGTGAAAAGAATAACTTGCTTTTAAAAACATATAATAAATTTAGTAAGTTTCAAGTGCAGCAAAATTAAAGGAAAAACCTCCCGTACAACATTCATGAGTTCATGAACCACCTCATGTCATGACTTCACGGTTTTGTGCTCGTGTAGAACTCATGATGAGTTCAGAGTCATGATAAGTTCACAACATGATCCGCCGTGATGTCTTTTGAATATTCGCGCTTCGAAGATCTCCACCGGCTGCGCATATGAATACGCATGGAACAAGCTGTGTAGTCTTTGCCCGATTGTTTTATTTGTTTAAGTGGTTGTAATATTCTGTTTCTATGGTTGTAATAATTATTTATAATAGTTTATAATTATAATATAAGTGCACAGATCGTGTTGGGAAAAAGAAGGTAAGTTTCGTTTTTTTTGTTTAATTTAAACATGTGACATGTCCTCGCTTATTAAATTATTTGACAGTCGGTTTGTTTTCAAATTTACATTTTACTTACTCATGAATTTATTAAGTATTATATTGGTTTTTTGTTAACAAAATTAATAATTATATATTAAATAATAATTATTAATAATTTAACCTCAAAATATAACCTAGGTTTTTTTTGTAATGTCTGCAAAATTGAAACGTGTGAAATACGAACGTTAATTAAATTGATGTAAAATGTTTATCTGGGTTTATAATTTATGTGCGTGATTAATATAGGCATTAAATGCAAATTTTGACAATTAACGGCAAGAAACTTATTGAATAATGACAGGCTGTCATTGACAGCACAGCTGAGTGCAATCGAAGCCAAAATTTATAGGTACCTGTGGTTCGTAGAAATGCATTGTACTATTTTCTATTTTACAGAAGCTGCCATGGACTGCACAAGGTCCATCAGACATGTCCGAATTTAAAGAACATGTAGACGAGGTATTTAGGACTACAAAACAGCGATACCTTGGGCAACAAAAGAACCATGGCTTGCAAAGAAAAACCCAATAGTCACCAGGTACCACATAAGTAATTTTTTTTACAAAATTTGCTTTTTAATTAACTAATAAACAACTATAAAAATATTTTTTATAAGCTTTTTTATTTTATTTACTATCCACTACCGTGGTTAAAAAACGTCGTTACCAATATTTTGTGATTTTCAGCTTAATGGCATTTTTTACTAGAACAATAATAATTATTAACGATTATTGTATTAACACATCCTGCATCCATTCCTGCTACCCAAAAGGCCCTTTTTAGGTGGTGGGAATGTATGCAGGATAAATTGTTCTAATAGAAAATGTCATTAATCCAAAAATTGCAGAGTGTTGTTTACGGCGTTTTATATATAATTATATATAATTTTGATTATATATGGTCATATATAGTTATATATAATTATATATGTTCCAATTCCATATATGATCATGTATGGTTATATATAATTATATATATTCCAAAATTCATATATGATCATGGATGGTCAAAATTCATATATAATTATATATGAATTAAATTATGTATAATTTTATATAATCATATATGATTATATATGAAAAATTTTTCCCCGGGGAGCTACTACAGTTTTGTAAATACCGTTTAGGTCATTGCTTGGCAGTCAACGGAGCTCAGTGTCAACATTTGATTTAGTATTGCTGTTTTTTTTGTATTTATCCTTCCTTTGTCACTCTTTAAATAATAAATTTTATCTAAATTTTAGTGTTGTAAAATTAATGAATTAGTGATTGAGTTGTAATATAGTATATTACACTACAAGGGCAGAAAGTGTGAGATTCCTGCACTGCGCGCCATGATGCCCGAGGCGAAGCCGAGGGCATCATGGCGCGCAGTTCAGGACTCTCACACTTTCTGCCCGTGTAGTGTATACTATTTTTCTTACTACCCTGCAGAAAATACGGGAAAAAATTAAATGTATATAAAAAAATTTGTGTCAAAATTAAAATCTGACGTTTAATTTAATTCTGACGTTTACATTCAAAATCAATCAAACTGTAGCGTTGTCATGGTAATTCAGCGGTGCCAATACAGTAAAAATAAAAGGTTGTATTTTAATTAACAAATTACTACTTTATAACAAATAAAAGTACCATTAAACACTTAAAACAACATAAAAAGTAAAAAAGTAAAAACATAAATTGTTTATTTGTTGTTATAATTGCAAAATTATGGTTTAAAACTGTCATATTTTTGTGTTTCTCATGTTGGCAGTACGAAATTTAAATGTTAAGCACGCGACTAAAAAATTTTTACTCCCGCTATTAGAGTGTGCGCGTATAGCTTGACCAATGCAAGAAACGTAAACTTTCTGCCGTGAAATCGGGGACGAAACAACGTATTTTGAGTCGAGGTAGTAAGAAAAATATTTTTACTTGCATTTTTTTTCAAAAATTGCTAAATTTTATGACTGAATAGAGAAAAGTATGCTTTTTTCATAATGAAAAAAAAATGTTTGGCATAGAAACAAAATAAAAAAAGATATCAACAAACTAAAAAACTCAAAACATGCTAACTTTTATATAGAACTTTTTTTTAAACTTTGCAAATATCAAAGTTAAAGCCACCCTGTATGTGTCCAGTTGGACCTGGTTTCATTTGTATTTACATTTACATTTTGTTGTTTACATTTAATTACACTAATTGTCGTATGGTTTATTAATTACACAGGCCGACAACATTTTAATCCAGGAACCAGATTATATTTTTCCTACGGTTTTGTGATAAGAATTTATAGCAAACGTGAGCAATTTTTAATTAGAATTTAAAAAGTATAGCCTGGTTTTATAAGTAGGATTTGGTGTTACTTTTTAAATAAAGGTATTTGTGACCAATGTTTTATCACCGAGGTATTTTTAGTATGTACTGAACGCAACCATAATAAAAATCTACTCGCTCAAAATTTGTTAGGTTCGCCAGTTTAAATATATCTACTGTTTACAAACTTAAAACATTGACCACTTACTCATTCAAAAAATAATCAAAAATGTATTATTTTGGTTAACTATTAATTTTAGGCTTTATTAGTATTTAAATATATTTACCTAGTTTTCTATTTATAACACTATTAAATTCACGTTTAGCTAATAGAATTTCATTTGTTGGTAAGGAATCGATTTTTATTTTAGTTTTAGAACCTAGTATTTGTGTCCTTGCAATTTTATTTGGATGTCTTTCACATAATGTAGCGTCCTCTGAAAATAATTGTATTGCTTGAGCTGCTGCTTCATTGGGTGTGAGAGTAGAGACCTGCAATAAATAAATATTAACTTAGTATTACGTCAAAACGAGTGAAACCTTAAAAAAATTTGGATGGATTTTAAAAAAAACTTGTTTTTTTTTATATAGGTATAAGTCAGGAGCGGAAATATAACCGGGCAGTTCGGTTCGGTTCCCGGAGGCCCCCATCATATATGGGGCCCCCAGACATAAAGATAATTGTTAAATAATATAATAATTATTAATACACCATTGCACATCTACTAAAATATTCATTTAAACCGTATTTTTACGATAAAGGTATACAGAGCAGAGTGCCGAGGGAATCCGAACACCTTAAAAGAGAGGGAGACAGGACACCGCAGTACACCGTTCTTTTCGCTTATAAATGCAAAACCCAATGATGCTCGAAGGGGCAAAATATCACCACTCTTTTTCATGGAGTACGGAGGCACTCGGTACTGTATACCATGAAAATACGGTACATAGATTTTTGGAAAATGTTTTGCTATCCTCACTGTAAAAGAAACTTTTGATTTTTTGAAATGGCCGTATTTAATCAAAAGCTCAAGAAATATTTTTTTACAAAGATGTGAAGAATTAAGTAGAAAATATCTGAATCCTTTAATATGTTGCCTAATTTAATGAAACATTGCCTTAAAGAAGGTATCCTGCTGAAAAAGACGGGTAATATCGGATGATATTTTATGTCCATTTATATCTGTTTTTATCCGACATATCTGATTATGCCCGGCGGTTTTTATCTGCAATTGCTGGTATAAATATTATCCGCGAACGTCGGGTTTTATCTATTTAGTTCTATGTCTGCTTTCATCTGGTTCCCTGGCGAAAATAAAGCGTGCATGAAAAGTGTGCAATAAGTGTGTATTTGGAGTGCAAGTCTTTATAACAATGTGCATACACGCTACTTTGTGGTAATTTCACACTTTTTGAAATAATTAAGTTTTCCTACTACCTCGACTCAAAATACGTTGTTTCGTCCCCGATTCCACGGCAGAAAGTTTACGTTTTATGCATTGGTCAAGCTATACGCGCACACTCTAATAGCGGGAGTAAAAAATTTTTAGTCGTGTGCAACATTCAAATTTCGTACTGCCAACATGAGAAACACAAAAATATGACAGTTTTAAACCATAATTTTGCAATTATCACAACAAGTAAACAATTTATGTTTTTACTTTTTTACTTTTTATGTTGTTTTAAGTGTTTAATGGTACTTTTATTTGTTATAAAGTAGTAATTTGTTAATTAAAATACAACCTTTTATTTTTACTGTATTGGCACCGCTGAATTCAGGGCCTACTGTTATTTATTTATTAAGCTCTTCAAATGGAGATAGGTACATAAATACACATTTAATTTTTTCCCGTATTTTCGGCCGGGTTGTATTTTCGGCCGAGGTAGTAAGAAAAATAGTATACACTTCACGGGCCGAAAGTGTGAGAGCCCTGAACTGCGCGCCATGATCATGGCGCGCAGTGCAGAAATCTCACACTTTCTGCCCTTGTAGTGTAATATACTATTTTTCACTCTTTATGTACATTGGCATCACGCTTTTTATTTGTCATATGTCACGCTTATATTACATTATATTTTAGCACATTGTTTGCACAGTGTTAGTACATTGTTTAAAGACATTTTGCAAAGCTTCAGACTATCTTACGCATCATGCGTAACGCATGTCACATTTTATACACACTGTTAGCACGCTTTAATATTTCTCATTTATGACGCTTATATTACACCTTTTTATAGCACACTGTTTGTACAGTTTTAGCGATCACTCAACAGTTTAAGCACATTTTAGATATATTTCGCTTGAGTTGGGGTACAACATTTATTTAAAAGGTGAGGTAGATTCCATCTTATGTATCGCTTCTCGGCCTATTGCTAAGATCAAAGCAATCCCCTTCGTGGAGTTGACAGTGCAGGTATTTTTCTTAATAAAATACAGTATGTAGGACCTACATTGTGGGTATTTTTTTTTTAATTTTTTTGAAAAAAATATTTATTTGATTAATATTATTATAAGGATATTTCAATTATGTGTAAATTTAAAAGACTTTATAGGTCACCAAAAAGAATCTGTTTTTGTAATAGGCACACAGGTGGCAAGAAACAGTGTGCAAACAATGTGAAAAATCAAAAGGAGTTCCCTTTAGAACATTGTCCAGTAATTATTCACACTTTTTGGTTTTGCATATTGTTTCATGTTCCATTTCCCACCCTCCGCACATCTTTTTTTAAAAGATTGGCACATTGTTCTCAAATAATTTTGCACATTTCATTTTCGCCAGGGTTTCATCGGCAAATACATGAGTTTGGGTTTATATCTGCATTAACCCGGTTTTATCTGCAAATACCTGCTTTCGTCTGTTTGTACCCGGTTTTATCTGCGTCTGCCTTCATTTACTTCTTTGCCTGCTTACGTCCGGTTTTATCCGCGATTATGTGATTTTATCTGGTTTCACTTTCATCTGCGAACGTCTGATTTCATCCGCAAACATCTATTTTAATACGCAAACCTCTGCTTCATCTGATTTCACCTGCAAACATCTGCTTTTATACTCGAAGATCTACTTTCATCCGCGAACGTCTGCTTTAATCCGCAAACATCTATTTTAAGCCGCAAAAGTCTGCTTCATTCGATTTTACCTGAAAACATCTGCTTTTATCTGTAAACGTCTGCTTTAATCCACAAACATATGTTTTAATCCGCAAACATCTGCTTTAAACCGCAAAACATCTACTTTAGTCCGCAAAAGTCTGATTCATCCGATTTCACCTGCAAACATCTGCTTTTATCTGCAAAGATCTGCTTTCATCTGCGAACGTCCGCTTTAATCCGCAAACATCTGCTTTAATCTGCAAACATCTCCTTTTATCCGCAAACATCTGTTTTAATCCGCATACATCTGCTTTTATCCGCAAACATCTGCTTTTATCCGCATACATCTGCTTTTATCCGCAAACATCTGCTTTTATCCGCAAACATTTGATTTTATCCTCAAACATCTGCTTTCATCCGCAAACATCTGCTTTTATCCGCAAACATTTGATTTTATCCTCAAACATCTGCTTTTATCCGCAAACACCTGCTTTTATCCGCAAACATCTGCTTTCGTCCGATTTCACCTGCAAACATCTGCTTTTATTTGAAAACATCTGCTTTCACATGCGTTCGTGATTGCCTGCATTTCCTTTGTCCATTTCGGTCCTGTTTCGTACGCAAACGTCTGGTTTTATTCGCGCTTTTTGTTTTTCTTACGTCTTCTTGGGTATACTTTAGTTTAATTTACCTGCTGTGTCTAATTTTACTGAGCTTTAACTAACTGGTCGTTGGCCGTTCACGGCACAAAACTTTAAAACTTCTAAAGGAATTATTTGAATCAAAACAACCTTTAAAAGTTTAAAATACATAAGTTTATTGAACTTACAAATAAGATCTTTGTTAAAAGATGTAATTAATTATATAAGTTTACATTTAAATTAAAAAAAAATAAAAATATATGTTTAATTTAGAATAAATTTGGAATTTTAACATCTTCAATTTGTATGGAATTTCTTTGAAAAAGACTTGATGAACCAGGATGTAAACGAAATGCAGTAGAGCGGGTCAAAAGCTCCGCAATTGCGGTTAAAATAATTCGTAGAAAATCCGCAGTTAGAAGTTTTTAAAAAGGTTTAGAAATCCTCAACATGTACATGTTTCGCACGTACGAAATAAGTAATTTTGAAAAGGGTACTTGAAATATAACGCCACAGCAAATTTATTGGGCTATTTTGAAGATAATTTGGACAACGGCACTAAAAGAGAATTTCGGTCTAAAGGATGCCATGTTGCAAACAGATTTTTGAGACAACACCTTTAAAGCAAAATGAATAGCGTTAAAAGTAATAATATAAATTCATTTAAAAGAATAACGAATTGATTCAGTTTAAAACTAAACCTAGAAATAGAAATTATGGAGTATAGAAATAAGATTATATTGTATTGTTCTGTAAATACGAAAGCGCTGCTACTTATTAAAAGATAAGCCTCGATCTATAGATTGATAAAACTCATAAGCATGGCTTAAATGAAGTAAACGCAATTAAATCAAACTGAGTTAATACGGTTTAACAAACAGAAAAATAGTGGATTCAATCACAGACCTGGTCTGTGGATTCAATCATCAGACAACCCTTGTTACGTTTAAGACATGTTCTTGGGAGCTATCAATAATTATCGAATTTAGTGACTTATAGTATATATTAAAGTTGGTACTAATGGCGGAAACTACGCCCAATGCCTAGTAAAATCCCCACTATAGTGGGAACTTATTAGTTTGTTCCTGGCGTTTCAAATACCTTTTTTTTTAAGCGGCCATGATATCCAACCTTATATGCATGTATAGAGATAGTTAAAGTGCCTCTTTTTTCATTAGCGACAGACACAAAAGCCTAGGGATAGAAGTAAATCCATAGGTGACTCAATAGACGTAAAATAATATAATTAATTTAGCATTTCATACAAAGCAATCACGATGTATTAATTATATTAATTATAATCGCACGGAATATTTAGTGATTATTTATTAAATTTTAATTGAACGAAATAAAGAACAACTAGTTAATTAGTATAATATTATGATGATAGACGAGTCGCCAATGTCGGAAGTTCCGACTCGGAACTCGAAACAAATGTCAGTACGTCAAAGTTCTTCTTCTTCTTCCTTGGTGGCCTAAGGCCTTAATGGTCTCGGTTTCAATGAACCACTTTGACCAGCAACAAGTTTTAATGTCCAAGCGCTTCACGAAGCCATCCACCCATAGACACGTGAATTTTCCAAATCTTGGATCATCCACTCAATGTGTTGTACAATTCACAAAATACCTCGCTAGAAGGTCAAAGCTTGCGATATTGTCCAAAAATACAGGTATATTTCTATACCCGGAATTCCATTTTGTCCCTCCTGGGTCAAAGTCAGCTATGTTTCAAACTTTTCATCGAGCAATGACTCAGAGAT